TCATGGAGCTCTCGTAAACAGTCCATGGTTTCTCGCTCCAGCACTGAATCAGAATACGGCAATCTTGCTTCCACTGCCGCTGAAATTCTTTGGCTCCAGATGTTACTAACGGAGCTTGGATTGAAGCTCCCTTGCCCACCTGTCATCTGGTGCGACAATTTGAGTGCCAAGTTTCTCTCCTCCAATCCTGTCCACCATTCTCGCACCAAGCACATAGAATATGATGTTCACTTTATACGGGAAAAAGTTGCAACCGGCCTTCTACTGATCAATCACATTCCTAGCCATGATCAAATTGTAGACATTCTTACCAAACCTCTACCACCAACAAGGTTTCATGACCTTATAGCCAAGCTTACCGTCTCCAAGAGACCGCTAAGCTTGCAAGGGGATGTTAGAGTATCTCAATAGTTATGATAGACTCGTAACTATGATCGTTATCTCTGATAGCTATCCTAGATAACTGATCACTTTATCTCATTATCATGTAGCTTATCCTTTGATAATTTCCTGGATAAACTCTAACTCTGTAATTGTTATCTTCTGTACATAGTTATCCTCTTGTAACCAGTTCTCTATTTAAATGATTCAAGAGACCAATCAATTCTTGACTGAGTCATTCCCTTCTCATTGTTCTAGTATTGCTCTTATACCTACCCATGTCTACCCACATAACATCGCAGTCACACATGGGGAACATCTTATCCTCCTACATAGTATTATGCACGGGGAGATGTTCCCAATGCACAAAGGCAGTGTGTTGTGGGTATGTGTATAGAATTATTGTGGGCAGGAGATCCGAATTCGTGTAAATTAGTGTTTTCAACCCACCATTGACCTAGCTGATTGAATCGCTTGAATCGTCACTCAGTAAAATTCTGGGTCCGATTTAAGTAAAACCCAAAGGAAGGTAAAAAACCATTGACTTGGTCAAAATGTTCTCACCTAGATGGTTGGATTGTTGACTCGTTCAACCTGGTGACTGGGTCATGGGTTGCACATGTGTATGTAAACTTCAGAAGGCCATAACTTTGCATTGGATGCCCGATTGAGGTGATTTTTTCTTTTTTTTGATTTCGGGTAATTTTTTGAGATCTATGCATCCCAAGGTGCCTTGCCTTGCTATTTTCATACCCCATTTTTTGCCTCAAATTGTAATTTGTAATATTTTTTATAAATAGAAAATTTAAAACTGAATTAAATATATAAATATAAAATAATATATATATTACATGTAGAACATAATTATACATTATTTATTAATAAAATACAAGTTTATACATATTTACACAGACACACATATGTGTGTGTAGATATATAAATATATGTTTGAATTTTCGTATGGCTGATGTGGCATGGGCTGACCCATTGGATGGCAAACCGATGACCTCCGACCTAAAGACAAAATCAGTTTAGCCCCTGGATCGGTTTTTAAACATTGGTGTAAATTTAATTAAGAAACATCTTTTAAAGAATCAAACTACCCCGGGCCCACTTGATATCATTTCATCTAGTATTAGTATGAGAAAAATACCTTTATTACATTCTACTTAATGGAATTTGGATTAGCTGAAAGCTTTAACCTGTTCAAGAGGCTGTGGAACCAATGATGAGATTCTACACCGGTATTAAATTTATGGGTTCTATTAGGGTGCGGGTCCTATGTATTTCATACTGGTATGAAACCTTATTATCATTAGTTTCACAGCCCGCTGAACACCTAAAACGTTCAACTAAATTTTGCTATATTTAATATCTCTTTAAAAAAATGTTTTTAAAGCAGGTATACATGAAGCCCACTAGACAGACCTAAGTAAGTCGGACCCACAAGCAAAACCAAGGCTTTTGTAATATTTATATATTATTTGTATTATACATATTTATAGTTGTATTATTTTCAAACTAAACCCAATACATGTTTGTAGTGTTCCGTATGAATGTGGGAACAGTTTTTGGGTAACAGATCCGGAGTGCAATTCTGCAACTTCGATCTGCATACATGGGAAGTGATAGCAAGCAACCAGCTTTGATCTTACATCTTCTATCTGCTATTTTCTATAAAATTTTTAATTGCGTGAATTATACCACTAGTTCTCCAGGGTGGGGTACTGGAGTTTAGGGGTGCCCACGGTTCGGACTGAACCATGGGCCTTTTTCATTATCGAACTGGTACTATTGGTTTTTGGAAAATCAGTAATTAAAAGTGAATCGAAATCAATCAATTAATTGATTGACTGATTTGGTTCGTCTATATTTTAGTTTTTAATTTTTATAATATATTATAAAAATATATAAATATATATAATATAATATTTTAAATAATAAATAATATATCTTTATATATAATACATATTTACTAATTTATAATATATAATACATATAATATACATAAATATATATAATATATAGAAATATATATATATACCGGTTGGTTCAATTAATCACCGATTTTTTATATTGATTAACCAAAATCGAACTAATATCTTTATTTTTTTTAAAACACTGAACCGACCGATTCAATTAAGTGCTTTTTTGGTTTAATTTCGATCGACTTGATTTTTCGGTTTTTTTTCTCGCCCCTACTGAAGTCTGTTTCTTGTAAATGCGATCCATTGTGAGGAAAGAATCCCCTTCAATTATTATACTCTCAAGCTGCTCCCAGGCTGCTGGGACTAATGCTAATTCTTTTGCTGCCCTTGCCTCCACCGCTATTGACCACGAACCTCTCATGAAGTTTGACAATCTCCCTTCTAAACTCTAAAGTCTCTTGCCACCCAACCGATGGATGCCTCTGTTCCTTCAACTATTAATGCGTGAAGGGTCAAATTTTATCTTGAGTTGGTTGTAGCGACCTGACGTGATGAACACTTTTAGTATGACTCTTTGTTGAAATGAGAGTTAAGTTGGTTTGATAGTCAAGTTGATCTAGTGCAACCTTTTCAATTATTACAGTCTATTTTTCATTCATTCAAAATAACAAATTTTTTATACAAATAGGGATGTAAATGGAGCAGATTGGATTTGATTAAGGATATATTCAAATCCGATCCGATATTGTTTATGCCGGATTTCAAATCCTATAAGTAAGTCAGATCTTTGGATCTGATTCAATCTAATTTATTTTCTTTAAAAATTAATAAATTATTAAAATAATAATAAAATATATTAATTTAAATAAAGTAAAAAAACATAAGTATTTTTTAATTATTTTCATCATATATATGTTATAAAATAAATAAATAATATAACACATTTATAAAAATATAATATAAATAATATATTTATAAATAAATAAATAACATATACACACATACACATACACATATATATATAGTGATCTAAATTCAACCAAATAGGACCGGATCTCCGATCCAATTCATTTGCACCCCTAGATCCAAATAGTCCAAAATATGTATGCTATTTTTTTTCTCCCCTGAACTGGGTCAATCCTCCATCCCTTTTGGATCAGAAACTTCCCCGTGGGAATTTCACCCATTAGTATAAGTGCCAAAGGAAGATTTTATTTTCAGGTTAGATTTTTAACTTTCTCACGAAGTCCTTCAGCTTAATGATATCTTTATTTTTCAGCTACGACGGTTCTTGAAGTCTAACCAGATTTCCTACTCACTTTCTCTACACTACAGCAGCACATCTTACAATACAAGATAGCAATGTGATTCAACGTGAAAATCCCATACTTAAACCATCTCCCCAATCTTAGCTCATCCTCACCTTTGTTGGGTATGAGGCCATTATAGATAAACCAGGTTATAATCCAATATGATAAATACTTTAGACTATTTTAGACCAGTCCAATTCAATTTCTGGACCTTTTAATCTGTCTAAATTGATTTTTATTTAAATTGGTTCCAACCCAAATTTAGTGCATTAACACCTATATTCTTTATTCTTATATTCTACCAATGAACCGGATATTGGTTCAATCCAACCCAACCCAATATTAATTCATTATAGATGGATAAGATTCAATTCAATCCAATAAACACTTTGACCATTAAATCTGAATGGTCTTATTCAATATGTCTCATCCGACCATCCAATCTATCTAAATTGATTTTGATTTTGATCAATCCAAAAGCGGCCCAGTGACACCCATAATTGTTTGGGACCAGGAATTAATTCTTGGAGCTTCCAACACTTTATTCCATGATCTATCACATCCTCTACTCTTAGTTTGGGATCATAGTTTCCTCTTATAAATTTTGCTCAATTTGATCTAAGATTGAGTCATCACCTATATCATTTTCTCCCATAGTCCCATATCTATGTCATCTTGCTGATGTAACGTTTATAACAGTTTCACCTATTTGAGTTGGATCTCCTGCCCACAAGAATCCAACCCACACCCACTACTCACTGCAGCTGTACGTTAAGAATATCTAACATTTGGGTTGGATTTTTGTGGGTAGGAGATCAAAATTATATTCCTCCCTAGCGGTCCCAATTGGAACGAACGCTTGACGTTGTTTGTCAACGTGACCCCCATTTTCTGTGGAAAAATGATGCACGAATTCAATTGCCAATCTGCCATTTTTGTTCAACTTTGCCCCACCTTTCGGACTCATTAACCAAAGTACGCATCGGCATAGACGACTACGGACAAATCATTGATGATAACTGATAAGCATGTTGTACATTAATTAATTGCTATAAGCTAAAACAAAATAACGATGATGATAAATGAATAAATGATAATCAACTATTTGTCCACCAGATTACGAAGCAACTTTTTTCCTACACCAATCCCCGATCGTGTAACATCAACACTCGAATCCGAAAAAGCTAGTAAATGATAATAATCAACTATCTGTGACTCCGGCCTGCTGCTCGGCTCTGTATAACCAGCTACGTATCCAATCACGAGTGAACACGCCAGAGCTGGCGTGTTCACTCGTGATTGGATACTTAGCCGGCTGTACACAGCATTGCCAACAGCAGATCCCCCGACTCTCTGTCTGCTGCACTCAATAGTCAAGAAACTCCTAAATAAATTAAGCCGTATCAAATTCTCTTCTCTCCATGAAAATCTGTGTTCATGGGCTTTCATGCTACGGAGTCTCCAGGCATGAAACAGCGGAACCCTTCATGGATTTTCTCTCTCCTATCTGAGAAGTTCTTTGATCCATGTCTTCTCCATGATCTGTACTCTAAGAAGAACGAGAAGAACACATTCTGCCTGGATTGTTGTATTAGCATCTGCCCTCATTGTCTCGGTCTTCACCGCTCCCATTGCTTACTTCAGGTCTCAATGCTCACCCCTCTTTTAATAATCCATATACTTTCCACCAGAATTTTTGTTTTTCCTCTGTGATTCTGAATCTAGATGATATTTCGGTCAGATTCGCCGGTATGTGTATCACGACGTCATCAGGCTCGACGATATGGAGAAACTGTTTGACTGCAGTTCTGTGCAGGTAAATCTGAGCCTTCTGGCGGGCTCAGTGGGATTTGCATTCTGTTATGAATTTTTCTGCTTTTAGAGATCATGCATTAGCTGTGAGAATTTCTGCTGGGTCTTGATAAAGATTTGATTTTGAATTGTTGATGCTGCAGTCCTACACCACCAACAGTGCGAAAGTTGTTTTCTTGCATCAGAGATCTCAATCACGCCCCGTCAAAGTTAAAGGCTCCGGTGGCTTCTGCAACACTTGCGACAGAAGCCTTCAAGAACCTTACCAGTTCTGCTCTCTAGCCTGCAAGGTAACAATAACAGAGCTTAAGAGCTAAGCTAAGATAAGTAAGCAAATATATCAGAAAACCGCTAATTGTTTGGACAGTTTTCCGTCGATGTTTTCCGGCGCTCTTTGTCATTTTCAGGTGGAGTATCTCGTGGACTGCGATGGATGCATCTCGGGAAATCAACACGAATGCGACTTCTTGCCATTGTCGCTGTCGGATTACGTATGCGCGGATATCGATGGAGCGAAGGCGCTGAAGCAAGGACAGATGACGCCGAATTCGGTTCTGGACAGTGAGACGATGGTCTTTTACCGTACGCCCTCCGTTTCCAGCTCCAGCTGCACTAACGGCAACGTTGGGTGTTTAACGGCCGGATGTACTGCGACAACGGAAAACGTTACGAGGGAGAGAGGGTCGACCGAGATGGCGACGGCGACGGGGAGTCCTTACTACCAAAATAAGCCTCGCAATGCTGCTGCTTCGAAGCGAAAAGGAGTTCCATTTCGTAGCCCTTTCTATTAATGTGGGCAGTCTAAGTCTGTGTCCTTGGCTTCTTTGAATTTGATCTTGTTTTTCATGTGGTCTTCGGATTTTCATTGTTTGCCGGTGCTGAGCAGAATGAAACTATGACCAAAGAAGTCAAATGATGCTTTTAAGTCAGGGACTGAAGAGACAAAGGGGGCAAAGTGGAAATTTTCAATTCCATATTTCCAGTTGTTGAATTCCACGATTTTTCAATTGTTAGAATGCAACACAGTGTTAGTACATATTGGGCTGGAATTAATGGGTTTTCGGGACAGTCCGTCGCGGTATACACGATTAGCGAAGTCATGAAGACGCCCGGCACCTAAGGGAATAGCCTGCTTTGGAAATGTATGAAACTAGAACTGGGGGTGGCTCGTATCTTCTTAGTTGATTCGCTCCCTCAATGATCCATTTGGGAAAAATTGAGTGTTATTAGTGATGTGTGACATCAAAAGCCAAAAATACTGGATTTAGATTTCTTTCCCAAAAAATCGGTCCTCACATGCATTGGGAATATCTCTCATGAATAAAAACAAGTAAGTACAGAGATATTCTCCATTTGCTGTTGAAGGGCTGTGAGGTGGGCGTGATAATCAATTTTAATTTTATCAAACGAAATCTGAACTCACTAAAACTATGGGTTTAGATCAACTGCCAACTAAGGATGTCCTAAAATCCTCCCAATAAAATTTAAAAGAAATATATGAGATAAGTAGACTGCACTCCACGCAGAAATATAAAATTATAGTCCCCTCTTAGTCTATTGATAGCCCCTATAAACTGCATCCTATCCGTGGATTTGGCATCCACCCTTGGTATTCATATTATTGCTAATGTGGCACTTGTTTTTGTTTTAAAAAAGCAAAAGCAATTATGTTGTTGAACAAACTCTAATCAAATAAGCACATATGATTAATACATTGAATAAACACTTCAAAAATTTTTTGACACCTGTCCCATAAAATACCTCTGATATATTCTTGAAAATTTAAAAACAACTTTTAATACAACTGTCAGAATATTTAAGTATTCATTGAATGTACTTACAATGATGTGCTTACTAGAAGGTCCCTTAATGTCCTACCTCATTGTGGCAAAGAAATATAGTTGTTGGATTTTCTATATGGAAAAGGGATCCTCCTGTTATATTTCCCATCTTCTTAATAAACCTTCTCTTCTACGAGCAAACAAAATATTTTCTCTAAAAGGAGAAAATGTAGCGACAGCACAAAAATACATATTGATGAATATCAGCATATTCACAAGAAAAATAATTTTCATATTATGATAAATTGATAATAAAGATGTTTTAAAGATTCGGGCCCAGATTAATCAGTATTAATTATATGCCGTTTGGGATTTGCCGACAACTTTTTCCCCCTTATCCTTTCATTCTCCTAAAGTCCGTTGTTTTTGTTCTTTTGTTTTCACTTTTGTTTTTTGTTTTATGATTTTGTGAATTATTTCTTGGATCTTCGAATCCCGAAGTGAAAACAAAATGTTGTTTTATTATTATTATTATTATTATATAAAGTGAAAACGCACGTGACATGTACACTTTTCAGCCTAAAACTGTAAAACCAAAAACCAAGAGGTTGTTTGGCACGGAAGCGTTGCACAGGTTATTTGTTTCTTGAAAAATTAGGAATACCTCCGAGAATGCAAACAACTGATCCCAATAATAATAATAAAAAGATGTAAGCTGGCGGAGTGTTTAAAATAATTTGACTTATTATTATAATATATTTATAATAACAACTATATAACATTTAAAAAAAAATCAGATTTTTCAAATTTTAAGTGTCACATCACCTTGGTGATTCAAAATCACCAAGGTGATTCAACAAACTTCAATTTGACTTCAAGAAACGTCTCCTTTTCCGAATCTCCAAGAAATGGACTATCAAAATGCATTTTTTTTACTGATCACCAATTTAACGTTTTAAGAAATGGACAATCAAAATGAAGTTTTTTATTGATTCCATTTTTTTCTGATGTGGCATTGATTCTACATCAACAAAATCAAATCTCTCGTAAAATGCCTCGATTTCAAGCACCTTCAAGCAATGTTCAAAAAATCATTATATATCGGCCAATATGTATCATATCAGGAGTATCCCAAGGGTGTATCAAGGTTTTAACAAATTCAAAAGATGGAGGAGCCTTAAATCAGCCTCCTAAGCCGGTTTTTAAAAAATGAAAAAGAAAGTAAAAAAAAAAAGGTCCGATACACCCTTACAAGTATACCAGACGTATCAATATTTAAGACATTACCCTCAAGTAGGGGACGGAAGCGGTATAACACTAGAACTAGAATTACAACCAGAACTAGAGCTCTAGAGGAATGCTCACGGCTTACCGCTTCAGCGCTTGGTGTTGTTGGACGAAAGACAAGAACGAGGAACCCCATGTCTTCATGCGACTGCTGGCATCCACCCATACCATGTGGACCCTGATTGTGTTGGTTTGCTTTGCTGCATCCTGCAAGTTTATGGTCGGGTAGGGCCCCGGCCAACTCCAAACCTCATCTTGCCTTCCTGCTTTCGGCTATAGTCAGAAGCCCCATACTTTGTTCACACTAGAGCGGTCCTATCCACGTGGCTAGTCTAGTCACATAATATTCCATCTGATTACATTTCATCGTTTGATCTCAGCTGACTTTCACTTCTTTTAGGCTTTTATAAGAAAAAAGGAAAAGAGTTCGACTCACGATGGATCATCAACGTAAAAACTAAAGACAACCTCATCGGGAAGTACAAAACTTTTCAGACCCTAATCCTTCACCGTGAGTAGAACCCTTCCCTCTTTCACAATAGGAGAAAAAAGGTTTTCCGTTTCATTTAATTTTACTTTCATGATGGATTAGATTAATGCACAGGCTTTGTTCGTTGAATGCCGATGTCTCCATTGCTTAAACACAAGGTTTAAAAAATCGATCCAGAACTAAGAACGTTCTTTATCATTAGTTTCGATTCAATGGTTCGACCGTCTAATTTGAATGATTAATTCATTTCAATTAAAAACTAAAAATAATAATAATAATGTCAAAAAACATGTTGAACGGCTCAAATAAGTCAATGGTTCGATCACACAAATCAACGGGCCATTAATCAAATTAATGGTTTTTGGCCAATGAGCGGGTTGAGAATAAAATGGAATAAGTTACCTAGATAATTTCTGGGCTGAATGGTCCAACCATCCATATCAACGACAGTTCAAAAACACACTTTAAATACAAAGGTAAACAGAAAAAAAAATGTATCGACGAAGGGGAGGGAAAAAAAAGAAAAGCATTCTCGAAAATAACAGAAGCTATACCCATAAAATATTTTCACAGGTGTTTGTGTAATTTATTTATCATGGTACGACGCGACCCAGATGTTATACTGAAAACCTTCATTAATTTGTTGGCCCAAACCCCTTACCTCTTGTCATCTTGTGAATTTTAGGGCCCCAGAATGGTTACACAGTACACCGACAATGCCTCAATTGGGCTCCGGCTGTGGTAAAATGTTGTATATTATTGAAAAAAAAAGAAAAGGAATGGTTGAGATAATTAGTTGTAGTAGTGAGAACTGAGAATGATCCACAACGAATTGGGCCCATTCTTATTTCTTGCTAATTACCATGCATTATGTTTTCAGGTTGTCTTCAACTTTCATATTTGTTGTTTTCTATCAAGAAAAAACGTAATAGTTTGGGTCTGGATAGCTGAACTGACGTTGAAAAGAGGGGGAATGGGTTCCACGTATAGTGAGATAGGTATCAAACACATGAAGATGGAATCGCATACCTCTTTGGTTGTCCTGTTCTTTTCAGAAAAAAAGAAAGCTTCGCCTGGGAAAACGATCTAAGTGCAATGGGTCGGTCGGTCGGTCGGTCGTCAGTGGTTATATCCAGTGGGTCTGAGGGTTGGGTCATTTAAACAAAGAAGGCTGAACAGCCAATGGCTCTTCCACGTGATAAATTGGCTTGGGGGTCCAAAATGGGCCAATTTTTAACCTAAAAAACCTGCTATAAGATCAGAATAACTCTACAAAGGATGAAGAGACACCACCTGACCACATGCATATCCTCTTCTTTTTAGGTATTACATATTACACATTATAGGGGAAGGTAGGTCCATTGAACTTATCATGGAGAGAGCCTGCAGTTATGCAAATTTAATCTCACACTGCACCTTGATAATCAGACGGGTGTTAAGTGACCATCTCGGCTGCTGAGCCATCTGCTGACCGTATGGACTGGACCAGACAATTTTTGAAACAATTGACCCAGAAATCGGTTATGGTTCTGGATCTAATTTTGAACCCAAAAACTGTTATCCGGTTCAATTTTCGAAACCATACTGTGCACAAAGCCACAAATTAGGTAACATAATGTTGCTTCAACATCACCTGATCAATAAATAGCTGGGGCAGCCGCCCCTCTGAATCTCTGATGGTATTCAATGCACATCCCCACCGAAACATACAGGAAAAAAAATGTTGGGGTAAGCCCAACTTTCTATTGTCTACATACAGCCCAGGGCGTTTGCACGCCTAACGCCTAACAACCATGTTATCACAGCCACATCTAATGGCACCTGTGCAGCTTTTGCAGCCAATGAATTAAACCTCACTTGGATAAAGCAAAATCCACAGAAACGACATCTCCACGAATTCTTTATCTGTCTTGAAAGCCCCAAGAAGAAAATCATAGATAACTAACTCTCTCTAGCTAGGTTCTTGAACCAAGACATTCAGAACTGCTGCATCGCAATTCGCACATCCAAAATACATATTTGCGTTTGTTTTGTAGCCCTCAATATCCAGCGACAAACATTATCTCGACAAAATCCACCCTCCAATACTATTGTACACGTATTTCCTTGCGAAAAATAGATTTTTGTTGGAACCCACTAATTCATAAGGAATTTAAAGCCAAAACCTCACTGACCTTGAAAAAGCACACAATTCAAGAACAAATGGTCAATACTCGACGCAGACATTTTCACACAGTGCACTGGAACATTACTCTTAGATCATGTCTACACCAAAATAACCTCTGATCACCAACTGGCAGGAAGTTCATCAGAGTCTTTCGCAGTAAAAGATAAATTCCACGATGACAACATTCATTCAAGTCGGTTTGTTTGCAATTATGGCTTGGTTTGGAAGTAGTACAAATATTTATATGTAGAGTGTAAAATCTTGCATTTTATATGTATATGTATTGTATATTTTTGGATTTATGTTCTTCCTAAATTGAACTTATATTTCATTTTGTACTGGTATAAATGTATGGAAGTGCAAATGAATTGAGTGCAGATTTTGACTTATTTTTGTTTCAATTTTTATTTTATCCTTAGTTGGTTGTAACTTGTAAGAAGTAGAAAGGAAAGAAAAATGAAGTGGTTTCCACTTCATATGTTAAATAGAAGATTGGAGGAGGATTATTTGTTTACGAATAAGGTAAGAAGCAAGATAATGGGATCCTCACTTTATATAAGAGGATTGAGGTAGGAGGAAGGTTGTGCAAATTTTGCTTCAATATTTGGGACTTGAAATTTCTGCTGATGTGGAGCACAAACAAAGAGACAAAGTTAAACCGGGTTCACAATTTATATTCGATTCAGATTTTCACTGTGAACAAAGTAACAGATAGATCCTTTTCTATGACATTGAGGAAGAAAAGGAGAAACTTAATATTGTGATCTCCTCTTATTGTGAGTAGATTGTATAATTGAATTGCTGAACTGTTGAGTACTTGAGTATTGGCTAGGATGTGACTAAAAGGGGGATTACCCCCGCCCCCTCGTTCATGGTGTTGTTAGGGACTGTTTGACAAATGGTTGGAGTGGCCCACAAAACTAACATTACTGCAATTTTTTTGAAAAAAAAAAAAAAACTAAAAAAGAGATATACAGGATTCAGAGTTGGTATTCAATACACCCCTTTCAGCGTATTGGGCTTGTACTAATACTTTGAAACGTGAACCCATGTTTAATACCCGAACTTTTTGTTTTTAGTGACTTTATTGTTTATGAATTACACCAGTACCTTTTTTTTTGTTGGCTGAAGGCTTATGTCTCAAAACGCTTTGCTCATGCCTCGCTCCTATGAGAGCCAACCACCTCACCTCCACGTTTAACTTTTTAAAACCTTGAAGATGACAGAGTCTCTTTGGAAAAGCTACTTGATATAGCTTCATCGAAAATTCAAATTTGCGGCTCATGCAGACCTATTTTTGACTTTCATTTGTTGTTTTACCAAAAAACAATTTCATCGGGTTCACTTTGGGGTATTTCAACTCATGAAAAGAAATCGGATATGCTCCTTACAGAGCGTGCCTCACACCAATTTCACAATCATCGCACGCATGCACTACGAACATCTTCCGTACATGATGTTATCATTCATGTAAAGATGTTCACAGTGCACAAATGGGATGCCTTGTGAGGATGGTGTAAGGCACACTTTGTTAGGAGCAAATACGGACTCCAATTCACCATGTAATATGCCAACACAAATTTTAGCAAATGCTAAACTCGAGCCCTTGAGTTGGGCCCATTCGACTTTTAACAAATTCTCTAACTTGAGCTAGGGTTGGCAATTTCCCCATAAAACTGGGGCCCCGACCTATCCTGCCTCAAATGGGGTGGTTTTTCCCTGATCTTAAACGGGGTGAGTTTTGCATATAATTTCTCGAACTTGATGGTAAATTAGTAAAATATTCATATATTTGATATTGATTTTTAAAATATCTCAAAGTTTTCCCTAAAATATTAAAACCCCATGATCCCATAATTCTATTTCTAGAGTACTCCCACAATGTATTAACTCAATTCCTAAAATACCCCAAAAATTCCATGATCCTATATCCCTATTTATAAATTATCCGTAAATTAAATAATTTTTAGTGGTTAGCTCGAACAAGGGAAAATTTGAGGATTCCCCTTTCCCCAAACCCAACCTACCATTGGGGACGGGCCAGTATACCTTGACTACGGGGTAGGGATGGGGAGAGGGTGTCCTGCCCTGAATTTCCATAATTGTTTTTGTAAATCATCCATAAATTAAATATGCTTGCCGCAGGCAGGGAAGATTAGAGGATTACTCAAACCCCAAACCCACCCGATTGACATTCCTAACCTAAACCCACCCAAGCCTGAGTATATTCAACGAATTGGTTCTTTTGATATCGGTACGCTTTGCCTAATCAAATCAGTGGCATAGAGTCTGTGTTTTGTGGACATGTGGGTAGGGTTGTTCACGGGTCGGGTTGGGTCGGTTTACTGAGGTTTTTCCAACCGACCCGACCTGATCAGGTTACCTGAGATGGAAACCGAAATCGACCCAGTGTTAAGCAAAACCGACCTGGTTGGTTTGAGTCGGGTTGGGTTGGTTTCGACTATAAGTTCATCCATGCTCCCCATGGCCACCTAGTTTTCTGGAAATATATTTAAAAATGAAATATGTATTTTAGAAATATATATATATATATATATATATATATATATATA